GTTCCAGGGTACTGTACCCCCTTGTTATCTCCCCCCTCCCTAATGTCCTGAACCTATAATTTGTGTTAAGCGGAATAAGCGCGTTTCAATGCACTTGAGTTGAACTCCTTGGGGCTGAGACAGCTACACTCTCCATTCTACTACGGTATGGAGGTTTACCAGAGTAGGGCTTTATTTGTATGCACTTCCTCTGTTGGGTTATGTTTGTTGCAGTTATATCGAACGGGTGGCGATTTGGCTAAACGATGTCGCTTTCATTGCTGCGGACTGCTTTTCATATGCGCTCGCGCGGCGATTTGACCGAGTTCAATGCGGGAAATTTGCAGTTTTTTTTTGTTCTTTCTCGAGACGAGATTATTTCGAAGTTCATAGCGCATTGAACATGAAGACCTTTATAGTCTACAAAGTGGGACCATCTCTCGAGATTGAAATTGAGAGTTTGGCACATCCCTTTTGGCGACGCCTACTTTTGCTCTTTTTGCAGAACTGTTAACTTTTCTTCCAAATCCTCTCTTTTTTTAAGCTAGCAAGTACCTCCCCCGCTTGAGAATCTCCGCCCACTTCACAGAAGCCCCGCCCGCTTCGCGAGAAGTTCGCACACATTTCAAATTGATCTGAACGGCAGACAGATTTTCAGCTAGCAGGTCATGGTCTCGTCTGTCACCCGGAACAAACTTCCTTCTGGTTTTTTCCCTTCGATCGAAGACTCCCTGGTATGCTAACTGAGACCCTAGTCTGCCGATATGGGTCATTTTTTAGAAGTGAGCGGAGCTTCTATGAAGTGGGCGGAGCTTCTTATATGGGTGAAGCCGACTGTTATGTCTATTATGCCGTCGCTTAGCGTCTATAAAGAACAGAAAACCCATTTGTAGGAAAACGTAATGGAGATGTGACAATATTCAAAACTATACAAATACAAAAAAATTGAATTTTTAAGGAGATATTTATGTACTGTTATAATTTCAGGCAATGAAACTCTGCGAGCCCATATGTACAAGCAGCATCAAATCTCTCGTATGTTCATGTGTCGATGTTGTAACTGGGCATTTCCGGACAAGACGAGTTTACACATGCATATTCAGGTTTGTATTGATTAGTTAAATGCGGTCAGAGACGCAGGTTAAAGGTGCTTGTCTGCCACTCTGCTGACCTGCGCTCTAGCAGTTCTACTTTGAACGGCAGTTTCAAATGCGTGGCATTTGGGCTCTATTGATTTACTTAAACTACTTTCAGGCTAGAGAAGAAGGAAAATCGATAACAGTTCCGGTGATTGGTAAAGGGTTGGCGCCAGATGGTGTGGATTCACCTTATCCGAATCTGCATCCAATCAATAACAACACGTTGCCACAAATTCAGAACCCTGGAGGTAAGTGGAAGTCTTGCGGGGAAACCCGCCCCTTTCGTGGAAAACCACGCCCACTATGACATCGTGGCAAACAAAATTGTGTAATTTTGCAGTGTTGACTCCGAATCCAGGGCTGTCATTTTTCTCAGCGCCACCACCTCCTCTGACTTCTACTGCAGAAGATATGAGCCGTCTACGAGACCGATTGGTGTTGAATTCCTTGATGACTCAGCCAGGCTTTGGCCTCGCTGCAGCCTGGCTTAACAACCTGCCGAAACCTATTCCTAGTGAGTTGTCGGGGAATCAATAATCGATTCGCTATCATTCAGTAAACCATCTTTTCTGTAGCCACAAAGCCATTGGTGGACTTGATGAAGAAAGAATCACGAGAAGAAGACGAATGCGAAGTGAACGTCGAGAACGACACCGCCCATGCTGAAGATGATAAGGTAGCTCGCTTGTGATTGGTTGCTCGCGAAGTAACCCGCCTCATTGGTCAGTTACATTTTTTGCTTATTGGTTAAATGCACTAGTTTTAGCTAAACGTGTCCAGTAGTGAGTCAGACGAAGGCAAATCTTTAGTGATTAAGCGAACAGAAAGGTGATAAATTTTGTATTGAATCACTGCCATGTGGAAATGATACGTATCGATTTTTAGCCCCTGTGAGAATGGATCCTCAACGAGCTCTGACGGACTGTCCCGGCTCA